TTTCATGTGTCCATGAAAAGTTGAAAACCAGAGCCATAAAGATTTGCAGTATTTGCATGTTTCTGAAAGTTGCATGTTCCAAAAAATCCTCAAATAAATTACTGTTGCAGAGAATTGTTGATTTCAATGATACAGAGGGTAAAAACGCGACCAAACCCTGGAACTTCTGTCTTTTTCTCTTAGCACAACAATAGATGGTTATAAATAAATATAAAAACATTGTAACAATCTCAGGTAATCTTCCTTGCAATCGTTTAACGATCACCAGAATTGACGACCTTGACATTTAATTTCCACGGTCATCTGGTGCGCTCTCGTGATTATACTGTCTGTAGCTATCGGTGTATCTTCTGGGAAGGAACACGTATCTTATAAATAAAAATACACCAACAAAACCAATATCAAAGTCAAGTTTTCTTATTGAACACCTGAACACGAAACTCGAGCTGACGAGCGTAACCTAAGCCTGGGAGAGCGAAGAGCAGGGACCGAATTCTGATTGTTGTTTTTTGTGTAGATCAGTAACCGTGGAAACAAAAGACTGACACAGTACAAGACCACACAGACATTGGGATGTTTACAATTGGCTGAACTGAAAAAAGTTCGAAATATCTTACTTTAGCTGGGCTTTTTTTTTTTTTTTTTTTACGATTTTTGATATTTTACATGCCAGGAAAAACGTGAAATATCAAAACCGTCAAAAAGCCTGGAAATCGTAAGATATTTAGGACTAAACTGCAAAGAAGACAGACTCTTCAACTTCCTAAAATTTTCTCAAATGAAAACAAGCAATTTTAAAATTCTCTGGAGAACTCTCTGCACTGATTTACGCTTATAAACTATAATAAATATCGCAAGAGCAAATATCTTTTGTAAAACAATTTCCCCCTATTTGCTTAGCTTTTCCCTCCTTTTTGTTGGTCAACCAAGTGCAGAACGAGGACATAAAATGACTAATTTGTTTCTCTTTTTCCACCTTCCATAGGATTGTCTCTATTAGGGAGGTTTATTTTGACCATAAAACAATGAACATGAAAGAAATCAGGCGGAGAAAATTGCATTTCATAAATATTTGTGGCTTCCAAATCTAATTATTTTCGTATATTTAAGACTTTTATTTCTTCTCTGGTCCAAGGACAACGTCCGTTCTATATATTTCGACCCAATTAAATGCTCGCTTAATTCAAAGGAATTCCCAGGATTGACCACTGTGATGTAAGATGACCTGAACATTGAATTATCATTAGAATTTCGAAACTAATTCCCCCATATTAAATTTATGTAGTTTCTGTTGTAAGTTGCAGAAATTGGTTGCAAACAGTGTCACGGTCTAACCGTAATGGTTATATGAAAACTCAAAATTTATTGGAAAAGTCTATACATGTAAAAGAACAGTGGAGACAACAAATCAAAAGTCAGAATCAAGTGCCTTTGGACAGCTATATTATGATACCAACCCAAACCAAACGTATGATGAAAGTTACCAAGTATAGTATTCTTTGTAAAAGCGTACACATATAGGTCCCCTTTTTTTCAAAATTGCGGTATAAGCAAAATATCGTAATAGTATCTTTTTTCTGAAGTCGAAATAGATTACATTATTTTCAACTTCAGCCTGAAAAAGATAACTGATGCGAAAATAAAATCCTTGCGAACCTTAACCTTTTTCAGTCAGTGAAAATTAGCTTTTACATCGAAAGCTCCCTTGCAGAATAAAGTCAAGACTCAAAAGTATGGGGCTTAAAGAATACATTTCTTTGCAAAATATAGATATGCACATTCTAACCCTACTGGTTAGAGACCAGAAGAGCTTAAAATGCGATAGTAATGCGTCCGTCTGTAAACTTTTGTCAGAATGCTATTTCTCCTACAGTTTTGGTCTGATTTCAATATAGTTTGGTACATAAATAGACTACACCAAGGTACATCATTTAATGCATCGGTTTTTGATTCCGATGAACGGTGTTGCCATGGTTACTTTAAGTAGAAGTTTCTGTGAAATTTAAAGCGCTACTCCTCCTACATGCAGTTTTGGTTTGATTTCAATAAAACTTGGCAAATAGGTAGAATACACAACAGTTATTTTGCATAATTCTATTTTTTGCTGCCTGTTCAAAGTTTCATGATCAAATCCAAGTACTACTTTTCTTCTGTTATATCTACAGACCAACAGAGCTACAGTCTCATCAGAGACTTCTGGTTTATCATAATCAGTGTCGAGACATTACTGTGACATCATTTGGGTACTTCAAATTTGTCCTTTTCATGACTTGTTTCTATATGAAAAACATAGGTAATCAGAGATTACAGAGCTCACCTCAACGAATGTTGTCTTTAAGTAAGGTAAAGTCACACAATTAACCAAAAAGAAGTGTACATCCAAAAATGGAAATATTTATGCAATTTTGATCTGATACTTTGGAATAGAGCTATATCAAAACTTCCAACTAGTTCTTTTTCATGAAAATGTAATTAAAATCCAGCATCTGAAGCAAATTTGAGAGTTTTCATCCCTTGATGCATCATTTGTGCAAGTTTGGTTTATACAATGTTATATAAGCCTTATAGTTTTTTGGTAAATAGACCTGCAGCCATAACTTTTACCTGGTCCATTATCTGAAAAATGTATGTCTAATTCAGCATCCGAAGCAAGTCCATTAGTGTGCATCCTAAGATGTATCGTCCATGCAAGTTTGCTCATTATAGGACTTATAGTTACTTGTAAATGAGACCTGCACCAAAAACTTAAACCTGTTCACTCAACCGGAAAATGTAGGTCAGATTCAGCATCCGAAGTAAGTCTGGTATATAAATCCTTAGATGTACCATCCATGCAAGTTTGGTCATAATAGGGCTCAAAGTATCTTGGAAATGAAAACTGCACCTGAAACTTTAACCTGTTCACTCGACCGGAAAATGTAGGGCAGATTCAGCATTCGAAGCAAGCCTGGTAGTATGCATATGTAAGATGTATTCTAAAACCTGCAACTTTGGTCATTATAGTGCTCATAGTATCTTGGAAATGACACCTGCACCAAAAACTTTAACCTATTCACTCAACTGGAAAATGTAGGTCAGATTTAGCATCCGAAGCAAGCCTGGTAGTATGCGTCCTTAGATGTATTATCCTTTTAAGTTTGGTCATTATAATAGTGCTCATAGTTACTTGGAAATGAGACCTGCACCAAAAACTTTAACCTGTTTACTCAACTGGAAAATGTAGGTCAGATTCAGCATCCGAAGCAAGTCCATTAGTGTACATCCTTAGATGTATCATCCATGCAAGTTTGGTCAACATAGGGCTTATAGTTCCTTGGAAATGACATCAACACCAAAAACTGCACCAAAAATGTTAACCTGCTCCAAAAACCTGGTCATTCCTTTGCTGAAATTGCAGCATCTGAAACTTTGACTGGTACAATGAAACACACTAGAAGCATCTTCTATGCATATCTAATCAATATAGGACATAGAAGTACTTAAAAAGAAAACTGCTCCAAAAAACTTAACCTGGGACGCCGACACCGACGCCGACACCGACGCCGAGGGTATTACATAAGCTCCCCCAACTTCGTTGAGGTGAGCTAAAAAGCAAGAGTGTTTTACAAGTCTTAAGAACGATTAATATTGCTTATGTTGATAAAAGAAAACAATATACGAGTATTTGATAGCCTAAATACGGATCTGAATAATTGCTAACCAAATATAAGTTCTTATACATAGGAAGTACTTTGAAGTAAATAACCACCATTATACATTTCTGTATAAGCAATAAATTGTGTATGGTTCACGTTGCAGTAATCATTTCTGCTTCATAAATATCATCCAATGGTCAAAGTTGATAAAAAAAAAATATCTGTTGATCAGGAAAATGTCCCGAATTCCGCCTAATCCCAACAAATATCACCGACTTAAAAGATAAAACCAACACAAAGAAGTCAGAATTTAATAGTACGAAACATAAATCATAGGCCACGTCACTCCAAAAATCCTGATTTAATTCTCTCATATAGGCCTATATAAATTGAAAGGATAATAAATAATTTTAATAATACCATGTTAAATATGGGAATTGCCCATGCATAAACAATGGATAAAATGAAATCCTCATTTCAAAAACTTGTATGGCGAAAGAAGTGTCTGGCATCTCATGTTTAAGGTAGATAGGCCCACTTGATGGATTGACCTCCCTTGGTCATTGTCCTTATTTGGTCTCAGAATGTCCTGAATGACTGAATTTCATATCAGCGTTTTGTCATTTTTTCCTCTTTGAAGTCAGCAGTTAATGTTAATCCTGCCATCAATTACTGGGGATGGTGCAGATACCCAAAACCTGTAAAATCAACTACAGTCCACCCTCTGATAAGTTCCAAAATTCCAAGTTACTTAATATCCCTTCCCTCTTTTTTTTATGCCCCTGTAATCAAAAATAATTTTTGCCCTGTCAGTCTGTCCATCTGTTTGTCTGCAAAAATCTTAACCATGTCCATAAGTGGGTAGGACTATTGCTTTCATATTTCACAGGTGTATTCCTTGTAATAAGACCTTTCTTAGGGTACTATCGAATTTGACCTTGACCCACTTTTACCCAAAAATTTCAAACTTTAACCTTGGCCATAACTTTTGAACATTTGGTGCTAGGGTTTTCATATTTCACTCGAGTATTTATTGTGACAAGATATTTTAATGGGTATAATTTATTTTACATTATGAACCTGACCTTGGAGTTTGACCCACTTAAAAAAAACAAATCTTGGCCATAACTTTGGAACAGTAAGTACCAGGGCTTTCCTATTTCACGTGTATTCCTTGTGAAAAGTTCTTCCCTCATGTATTAAAAACAATTTTGACATTTTGACCTTGAACATGGAGTTTTACTTGTATTTGAGAAACTTCAACTCTCCTTATAAGATCAGTGTTTCACAAACTCATTTTGTTTTGAAACAAATATGTTTTGTATTATAAACATTTATTTTATACTGAAAGATGTACAAAAAAAAATGTTGAGGAGTTTTTGCAAACATTGAAAAATATACAAATAGTATATTCCTGAGCATTTTCAAATTATTCATCAATTTCAAAGAATTAATACAAATGACTACTTCAAATGGAATATCACAGACACACATAATAATGACTACAAAAAATGAGTTAAAGCATTATACATACATATCATTCACAACCAGAAAATAGCACAAAACACTTTCTTTTAAGACACTGCATAAAAACTGCAGAATACCAGCATTTCTGGTTATAACATGCCATTTGACAATATTTTACTGAATATCATTCCTTTTTTTATAGACTTCTTATAACAATAGGTATGAAATACTTCTTTTGCAAAAACTTGTATACTTTTCATAATATCAATGAAAGACAACATTTGTTGTCATATACCAAGGGGTTCCTCTGACTTATTTCTGCTTTTTTTCAATATTACATGTAAATAAAGTATTTAATTAATACATGCAGTATCAAATACATTTATCTCCTCGTCTTATTCTGTAATAGGCCACTTCCATACCACTCTATCCAACATTAAGATATTTTATACAACTCTACAAAACTATTTCAAGCATTGCTAAGACACACCCCATCTTCTCCAAAGAGCTACCCATAAGTCTAGTAAGGTGACACTCTTAGAACTCAGAAAAAAATACCCTAAGCTCAGGCCATCCCAAACAGACCCTTCCCATAACACATCCTTTATAAAAACTCACAGCCTTTCCAAGATGCTCCTTGTTACTTTATTAAAGTATCCTACACTATCATCCTTTGAGCTCTGCCAATTGCCCCCTACTTATCTAAAGAAGTACCATACTCAACATCTTGCCAAGATGCAAGGTGTTCTGGGACTAACACATCACATGCCATGTTCCATCAACACTTCCTTAAGGGATTCATGTCCATTCTTGCCCCTGACTTCTAATCACTTAAAAGCAGTACTTTCTATTTTTATAAGACACTCTACACTAGTGACCATTATTTTAATTTCAATGTTGTTATAGCCTTTGTAACTAAACAGTGAAATATCATGTGTTCATTTCAAATTATATAACAGGAGGTGAAAGTACTTTGCAATGTCATGGTGAGTACTAGCTTGCATGATCTTCTTTCTCAATAGCTAATTTGCATAACAAGCCATTAATATCATTGAAAAAATCTTCCAATGTTTATTGTTACAGCTACAGAATGGGTACATGTATCACCTAGCTACTAGCCAAATGATCCCATCTCTTCAATGCAATCATAACAAAATCTTTCCTTACAACATTATGCTTGATCAAGTCATTTGCATATCAAGCCCCTCCCCTACTGACAGATCCTCCTCCTCTACTATAGAGCCAGACAAGTGATCCATAGCAATCATTCCCTCCTCCTCTACATCTTCATCAAGTCATTTGCATATTAAGCCCCTCCCCTACTGATAGATCCTCCTCCTCTACTACAGAGCCAGACAAGTGATCCTAGCAATCATTCCCTCCTCCTTTACATCTTCATCAAGTCATTTGCATATTAAGCCCCTCCCCTACTGATAGATCCTCCTCCTCTACTACAGAGCCAGACAAGTGATCCATAGCAATCATTTCCTCCTCCTCCACATCTTCTTCATGCTCCTCCTCTTCTTCTGACATCACTCCATCACCAGACTCAATCACCTGTCCCTCCTCAATGATGTGACCATGGGAGATGACCTCGACCTGACCTTCGTCTAGTGACGCTGACTCTATGACCTGGGTGTCTGGAATACTGAGTGTTCCATCCCTCAGGCCTGCCTGGAGATGCTCCTCTGATAAAGTGATTGTATCTGGAAAGTAAAAATAAAAAAAGGCTCAAAATATTTCTCATAAAACTGCAAAAGGAATATGCTTGATGCATGAAAGTTTAACTGCACTTGTGTTTCACACTCTGGCAGATTTCTGAGAAAAGTTTACTGCAAAAAGGGAAAAAATTAAGTATATTAAACCATCAAAAACTCAACTATTAAATGAAGATTCATATATATATATATATATATATATATATATATATATATATATATATATATATATATATATATATATATATATATATATATATATTTATCATTTGACAGATCATAATACTTGTCTCCTCCAATACAAAGTCAACAGGATCTGTTAAGTCTCTGGTAACAACTTAATTGATTGGTGCTACAATTTAATGTGCTAAAAAATGTTTTTATGACAAATTTTAAGAAATGTCCAACATAAAACTTATCAAATTGATCAACAGGTAAATTAACCTGAAACATTTTCTGTAAATTGGTGAAATGTTTAGGGTATTGTTGCCACGGTAATTATGAGGAGTTAATGCACCATGATAGTGTATAGTCTAATTGCCATGGTAATCATTTTACCACTAGAGCTTTTTTAATTCCTATTCATTGATGTCCCCGATTTCATGGGAATCTCAAATCAGTCATCAGAGGGTATGAGAAACATCAACCCCAAATCTTTGCTACCCGAAATCGGTCACAATCAATGGGGGAAAAAATTTGTCATTGAAAACAAGACAAACTAAAACACATTCCTTGTGCTCACCTCAGTACAAACAACTTGTCATATTTGTATTTCTTGAAAGAGAGTGTCTAATTGATGTTAACAATTACCTTTCAAAATTCTTCATAAGATGCTTAGTCAGCAGAAAAAATGACAAAAAAACTTTACATAACCAAAAAAATAAAATAAAAGAGAGAGATAACAGAAAAAAAATTCCTCTCTTTTCACCCCTCATCACTCTCATTCTCTAGTGAGCTCTTTTATGCCTTGCTTGTTTGTCAAAAACAATAGTGCAATTTGACAGCCAAAGAAAAAAAAGCGAAAGAAGATTCTCTACAACAATTCAATTTTTCCTCTTCCAATTAATTGTTCATGGTCATTAGGGTTGTGATGAAACACTTGAAGGATCTAGATGCGATCTGTGTCATTTGATCCAGTATTTTCGAGTGAGTGCCGGGCCTTGACTGTCACCCCTATATAGGGTCGGGTTACCAAGGTATATAACCTGTGCAGGGAGGTGAGAGAAGTGGTTTCAGGCATGCGCCATTACCAAGTCATTCACTAAAGAGAACGATTCCTTAATGTTACTCATAGACTGCATTCCTCATGGTATATTGAACTCCAGTTTATTTGGCTATTCAAGTGCAAGTCCTCTTTGTGAAGGTTACGAAAGTTGAGATTTTCAAAATAGATCACTTGAGAAAAAACAAACAATTCACAATACCTATTTAGATATGTTGCTGGACCTTCTGAATTTATAATCCATTTTATTAAGTAAATTATTATTTTCAAACAAAAGTAAAGATGTACAATGTACATACATATTTCTTATACCATTAGACAGTGGCAAAAGGGAAACAACTAATTTTGCAAACCAAACTTCTTTTTATCTGGAAGAAAAAAAAAGATTGTACGGTTTGTCCAAACAAGTGTCTAGGTAGAGACCGTGGTTTACAGTAATGCAGGGCCACCACCCTCTTCCCATCATTGTAGTGGCTGTTCAGACTGGAATTTATCAGCGCCCTGTTTACATACTTGGCTTATTATGCGACAATTTCATCCCCTCCATTCAAGTCTTCCTACACAAACTTCTCACTTGAGAGATCAGGTTTTCATCTAACAGTTTCTTGAAGGCTGAGCCCTGGACTAGTGTCTAAATACTGATGCATCAGAGTGCATTATTATTCAATCACTTGAGAGATCAGGTTTTCATCTAACCGTTTCTTGAAGGCTGAGCCCCAGACTAGCTTCTTAATACTGATGCATCAGAGTGCATTATTCAATGTTCTTTAATTACCATAAGTTAAAAAATATCTTATTGTACCATAAGTTAAAAGATATCTTATTGATTGCATGCCCTTGTGGACAAAGCCAAAAAAATCTGTTTTATCTGAACTGAGCAGTCTGATTATGACTTTACTTACACAGTCAAACCTGGATATTCTGGACCTGACAAAACTGGCAAAAGCAGCTAGATATCCAAGAGTTCTTGTTATCCAAAACTTGGAATTCATGAGGGAGGGATTGCTGGGTTACTAAACAACATAACAATTGTATTCAACTTGCTCCAGAAACTATGGTTCAACTGTATTTAGCAGATACAAACTGATTTATTTAGTAGAATTATCTTGACTTCGTAACTAATCTTGAACTACTTAGTAGCTTTGGGCCACGCAAAATAAAATTGGAGCCATGAATCTTGACATAACATAACTGGAGTTGTCTGAAGAAAAAAAAAAATGAAGGCCCCATCTCATTAGTTTCTGAATCCAAACAACATGGGGATTTTGAATGACCAACATATGGTCTTGCAGTAGAGAAGAAAAGTTTTTTCTTGCATGCATTCAATAAGTAAAATCTAACCTGAGATTTTATTTTTTCTTGCTTATTAGTCCAATTTAAATTTGATCCCCTGTTGAGGCCCCAATCTAACTCTGGGAGCTACAAAATGAACAATTTAGAATTTTCCTCAGGAAGCTTTTACATAAGTTCCATTGTTTCTAGTTAAATGGTCTTAATTAATATAAAGACTTTTTAATGACCCTACCCTATTTTTGCTTTTCCTTGATTATCCCCACTTAAAAGGTGTCTAATGGCCCTTATTTGAACAACTAAGAATGCCCTTTACCCAAGAATGACTTTTGCAAATTTTGCTTAAATTGGTCCAGTGGTTCTTGAGGTTGATAATGTGAAAGTATACTTCTGATAAGAATGAATATCTATAATTCAACATCTGAAGCAAATGTGGTAGTGACCTGAGCCCCTGATGCATCATCGATGCAATTTTGACATAGGCAGGTCTTGTTATAGTTTTTTGGTAATGACCTTCTCTGAAAACTTTAACCTGATTACTCATCCAGAAAATGTAGGTCAGATTCATCATGCCAAGCAAGTTCAGAAGTGTGCATCCTTTGATGCATCATCCATTCAAGTTTGGTCAACACTTACACTTAAAGAATAATAGGAACAAATAATTTTTTATTTAGCCAGTCTCTAAGAGCCATTTTAGAGCTTAAAACACTCATTTCATACAAATTCCAATTAAAAAAAATTAATCAACTCAACTTTCTCTTACGAAAGCGAAGCCAGAAATGATGAAAATTTTGTGAATGGTTCATTTTGGTTATGCAATGCTCTCTCGTCAGTTGTCTGCGCATTTAAATGATTGACATCACAAGATTTGTTACACCTAACAAGAATGGTATATTCAAGGTGTAGGTAATGGTATGCAACACACCTATAAGTGCACACAGTTATGTAATACAAACAGAGATGTAATTAATGAAAGGTGCATAAAAAGCAATATGGCTTGTGTCAAAGAATTTCAACAAAGTCTACACCTTAATCTTCGCTTGGAATGCAAATTACCTATAAGGTACAGAAAATAAGCATTAAACAACAAAAAATAAGGATTTTCCAACTCTAACCGAAAATGTTGAAGAGTAACCAGAATTTGGAAATATCACAGACAAGACACTTTTTAAAGTATACAACTAGTGATGGCTAATAAATATAAGTCTGTAGTGTTTGTTGACTTAATACTTTTGATGATTTTTATCAACAGGTAAAAGAAGAATACCTGTAAATCATCATATAACACACCTAAGGTGACGGCTTACATGTATACGTGTGGCCTTAACACATACCTGAACCCTGAGTCATATGTAAATAATATATTATAATAGGTATACATCTGATCTGGCAAACTGCATTTTTTTTTTGTTTTTTTTTATCATTTTCTTTAATTTTGTGATAGACAAGGAAGGATATGGGTATTCCAGAAGTTTGCCTTGGATTCTTCCACGCAGTATTTAATAACATTGATTTTCCCACCCACATGCATACCTTTTGCACCATGTGCATTTAACATAGTGTTGCTTGGTAGAATTTCTAAAAATTCTGCATTGACCGTTTCCATAGACCACATCTGAAAATCTCGACAGACTTTACACTGCTTAGCTAATCAAAATCTGGATGACTTCTGACACCACGTCTATAGGTAAAAGGTTCCAAGGAATTTTACTTTTAAATTGATGGTTATGTTCTCTTTGAAGCTCTTCATTTGAAAATACATTTATTCAACAATTACTTTCATCACAAAAAATGTAAACAACTTTATATTCCAAATGATACATATATGTCTAAATAGAGCCCATAGATCTTTTCAACTCTAACCTTGGAAGACGTTCTTCAAGAAATTGACATTTTTAACATGAGGAAAATATATTACATACCAGGTATGGCACCAATTCCCATATCTTTAATTCAATATGAAACACTTACACATGAGCACTTGTGAAGCTGTTTTGCCTCCATGTGAAGCTGTTTTGCATCCATGGATAATATTAAGACAAAGTTGCCAGCTCAGAATGACTGCAGCAGAATTGTTCAAACCTGACACAATTGGGAGCTTATTGGGATCAATGCAATCCTTATATTGAGTAATTTCTACATTTTAATTAGAAGCTGGGTTTGAGTTTATCCATCAATTTGCAGAGTCAGCAAGACATGTTGCCAGAGAGTTTTCTTTATCTATATGCAAATATTGAAAAGAAAGGAAAACAACCTATTTTTTTTCACATTTCTAAAGCCACAATTACAAATTCTGATGCATTCTTATCTTAAATGTTTCAATTCATTACCCCCCCCCTCCCCAATGCAAAAAAGTATATCACATAATGAAATCAAAGGCCTGAAGGGCCTGCGAGTTGACTCGCTCGAGTCAATTGAGCTTTTTAATACATCTGGGCACCATACTAGTTTATTTTGCATCTTAAGAGATTGAATA